AAAAAAATTTTTCAAGGACTTTCAGCCATTAAAACGTGGATTCATAAAAAAATATTTTTTTCAAGGACTATCAGCCATTGAAACATGGATTCATAAAAATTTTTTTTTTATAAAACGTGGATTCATAAAAAAATAATTTCTTCAAGGACTATCAGCCATTGAAACGTGGATTCATAAAATAAAAATATTTTTTCAAGGACTATCAGCCATTGAAACGTGGATTCATAAAAAAAAATATTTTTCAAGGACTATCAGCCATTGAAACGTGGATTCATAAAAAAAATTATTTTTTCAAGGACTATCAGCCATTGAAACGTGGATTCATAAAAAAAAAATATTTTTTTAAGGACTATCATAAAAAAATATTTTTTCAAGGACTATCAGCGACTAAACGTGGATTCATAAAAAAGAGTTCTTCAAAAACTATCAGCCATCGAAACGTGAATTCTTAAAAAAATAGTTTTTTCAAAGACTATCAGCCATCGAAACGTGGATTCATAAAAAATATGTTTTCAAGGACTATCAAAAATTTTTTATAATATTTATCTGCGACGCCCACTAAATTAAGTGTGGATGTGTTAGTGATATTCTTCAGAAATATCGATGGAATAAAATTGAATTTCTGATTATAATCCAATTTAAGCTCTATTACTGATTTAACGGATAGATTTAAAATTATTTTTATTAGTATTGTTTTAATGCAGATAGAGATTTTTATTTGACGCAAAAACCTATATAATTGCTTATAATTATTTCTTTTATATTTCCAGCTCGTTCGCCGATTTACACCCACTTGGGAGCATCATTGAATGGCCTTGCCACAATACGAGCCTTCCAAGCCCAGGACATACTCATACATGAATTCGACAACTATCAAGACATGCACAGCTCCGGCTACTATATGTTCTTGACGACAAGTCGTGCCTTTGGCTATTGGCTAGATTGTTGTTGTGTTCTCTACCTTGCAATCATTACTTTGAGCTTCCTGCTTTTCTCCCCAGAGAATGGAGGTGATGTTGGCTTGGCCATTACGCAAGCAATGGGTTTAACCGGCATGGTACAATGGGGTATGCGTCAGTCGGCCGAGATGGAAAACACCATGACATCTGTGGAACGTGTTGTGGAATATGAGAGCATTGAACCAGAGGGAGAACTTGAATCCGAGCCCAATAAGAAACCACCCAAATCATGGCCCGAGGAGGGTAAAATTACCTTCGACAATTTGAGCCTGCGTTATGCCCCCGATCCCAAATCGGAATATGTTTTGAAATCATTGAATTTCAATATACAACCATGCGATAAAGTGGGAATTGTGGGCCGGACAGGTGCTGGCAAGTCGTCTTTGATTAATGCCCTTTTCCGTTTGTCTTACAATGATGGTTCAATTGTCATTGATAAGAGGGATACCCAGGATATGGGTCTGCATGATTTGAGATCGAAAATTTCAATTATACCTCAGGAACCGGTGTTGTTTTCGGGTACCATGCGCTACAATTTGGATCCATTCGATGAGTATTCCGATGCCAAACTGTGGGAGGCCTTGGAAGAGGTATTTTTTTATTTTAATTAAATCGAATTGTAATAAAATTATTTATTTGGTATTCTAGGTCAAACTCAAACAAGTTGTTGCCGACATGCCCAATGGCCTACATGCCAAAATCTCGGAGGGTGGCACCAATTTCAGTGTGGGCCAGCGCCAGTTGGTCTGCCTGGCCCGTGCCATTCTACGTGAAAATCGCATCCTCGTCATGGATGAAGCCACCGCCAATGTAGATCCCCAGACGGATGCCCTCATTCAAACTACCATACGTCATAAATTCCAAAATTGCACCGTACTCACGATAGCCCATCGCCTGCATACCGTCATGGATTCTGATAAGGTGTTGGTCATGGATGCTGGTCGAGCGGTGGAATTTGGTTCACCCTATGAATTGCTGAGTGAATCAAAGGTGGGCATTTTCTTGGGAATGGTAAAGCAGACGGGCCAGGCGACATTTGAGAATTTATTCCAAGTTGCCCAAAAGGCACATGAGAAAAACTCACAAAGCAAAAAGCACCAATAGTAATGGTGTAGTGACCGCAAGTCGGAATGTCTTGGGAATCGAAACAGGAAAACGGACAATTTATTTTCCGATTTGTTGTAAAAATGAATTTGAAGCAAAACAAGTTATAACGTGAACAATACGTAAAAATTTTTACAAAGATAAGAAAACATAATTCCTTTTTTAGTTTTAGTTTTTTAACCTTCTTATGCTAAATTTGTCTCTTTCGACCTTTAGTATACTCTGTCTCTGTTGGCCGTCTATGTTTCAGTAATAAAATAAATTCACTTTAAATTTGGGTAGAAAGCCACGAAAGTGAATTAAACGTTCAGTTGTAATGAACTCAAAGTAATAGTAAGACTAAATATAAATTTAAAGCAAATCTTCTATTTATCTATAAAAGAGGAAAATGTTTGTATGTTTCCTTGTTTGTTTGTAATTTATGGGCTCAAAAACCGCTGAACAGATTTTCCTGAAATTTTACAAGTAAACTACAACATCGCCTGAAAGTAACATAGGCTATAAACATTTTTGAATTTCCACTTGGAACTGGAGATCGATCCACTTGGCATCGGAGGTACCTCCTAAAAATTAGATTGTTCATGCACATATCTATTAATCGATTACAGATACAGTCTCCAAATTTGGAATAACTAAAAAAATTTGAAACAAAAACAAATTTTGAAAAATTATATTGAAATCGGTCCGGATTTAGATATAGCTCCCATATATGTTTTCTACCGATTTCGTTTATTTGATGCTCCAAATACGATATGAATGTTCAATTCCAATGAAATTTGGAATGTCTGACGGAATTTGTCTAACAAATTTGTTTGCTTAATCATATTGAAATCGGTTCTGATTTAAATATACATTTTCAACCGATTTCGTTTATTTGACGCGCCAAACATCATATGTACGTACGATTCCAATGTGAATTAGAATGAGTGACGGGATTTGACCAGAAAATAAATTATTCAGATTATATTGAAATCGGTTCAGATTTAGATATTGCTTCCATATATATTTTCGATCGATTTCAAAAATTTGATGCACCAAAGACGATTCCACTAAAAAAAAAAATGTCAAATTATATACAAATTGGTCCAGATTTGGATATAGCTCCCATTTAAATTTTTGGCCAGTTTTACATATTTGATGCATCCAATGTGATATGTATGTCCGATTCTAATGAAATTCGGCCAGAGAGACGAAATCTGGTATCCAAAAAAATTTGCAGAATTATGTTGAAATCGATTGAGGTTTAGGTATTGCTCCCATATATATATTTCGGCCGATATCATGTATGCTATGCACCAAACACATATATATGACCATTTCCAATAAAATTCAGAATGTGTGGCGGAATTTGGTTACAATAATATATTTGACAAATGAATTGGAAATCGCTTAAGATTTGGATAAAGCTCTCGTATATATATTCTCGGCCGATTTCACATATTTGAAGCACCGATTTCAATGAAATATGTAAGGTGTGACGGATTTTGGTCTTAAAATACATTTTGTAAAATTTATATTGCAGTCGGCTCAGATTGGGATATGACTTTATTAAGAAACATTGATCCACAACGCTTTTGCAATGGTATTCGGCTAAGAGTAAAAAAAAACTACAAAACAATTCAATCGAGGATATGATTTTACGGAGAGGTATGTTGCTACCTCAAATTCTGTAATAGCAACAGAAATGCCTCTCATCTTCAAAAGATTGCAGTTTCCTGCACGCTTGGCATTTGCTATGAAATTAATAAATCCGAAGGACAAACCCTTCGTGTGAATTTGACATGTTCCTGCTTTTCTCATGGCCAGCTGTTCCTGTCATATTCACTCGTTGGTAGGCCGAGCTATTTGTTTATTTACGCATAAAAGTATTACAATAATTTTTTTTTTTTTTAATTTTTGAACTTGTTTTATTTCTTATTTATTTCTTTTAACCAACATATATTCGTATATAAATTTTTGAATTCATACAAGGGGTAGCGAAGCGCACCGGGTTCAATTGGTATATGTATATAATAGATGACTCATGCATTTGTAGGCGAAATTTCAATTTCAAAACTTTCCATTTTTCCATTTTTATACCCTCCACCTTGGAAAGGAGGGTATATTAACTGTGTCATTCCGTTTGTAACATCCTTAAATATTCGTCGTAGACCCCCTAAAGTATATATATTCATAATCAGCATAAAATTCTAAGTCGATTTAATGATGTCTGTCTGTCCGTCTGTGTGTCATTATTTGACGTAGAGTGCCAAAATTTAGCAGAGCAATTTGCATTGTGTCTAGGATGGTTGGTATTGAAAATGAGATATATCGGTCCACTTTCTGGTGCAGTCCCCATATAACGGTACCTCCCGATATTCGGTATTTATGATGATTTATGCCACATTTTTTTCACGGATTTGTCTGAAAATTGGTATTTGAAGGTCATAATGGTTTCCATCTCCGGTGGCGAAACATTGCATGTATGGGTCCATGATTTGGTATAGCCCCCATATGAAGGTACCTTCCGATATTCGGTATTTTAGTTTTTTTGCCACATTTCTTCACGGATTTGTCTAAAAATTGGTATTTGTGGGTCACAATGGGTCCTAGTTCGTGTGGCGAAACATTGTAATTATAGGTCCACGTTTTGGTATAGCCCCCATATAACGGTACCTCCCGATATTCGGTATTTTGATGATTTTTGCCACATTTTTTTACGGATTTCTCTAAAAAATGGTATTTGTTGGTCATAATAGGTTCCAGCTCCGTTGGCGAAATATTGTATGTATAGGTCCACGCTTTTGTATAGCCCTATATGGCGGTACTTCCCGATATTCGGTATTTTGTTGATTGTTGGCACATTTTCCCACGAATATGTCTAAAAATTGGTATTTGTGGGTCGTAATTGGTTCTAGTGTTTCCATTACGCTGAGGTGGAGGGTATTAAAAGTTCGCCCAACGGAAATTAATGATTTTTACTTGTTTCTTTTAATCTCCGTTTTTGATGTTTTCAATCTTCTTTGCGGCTGTGTGGTTTTGTCGAGTTTACACTCGATTGAAAAAAATCAATTTTGCTTAAACTTCTCATAAGATAAGATCAATGTTAATGTATTATATTTTTACAAAATTACTATTATAAGACACATAATCGTAGATATAGCATTCATTTTAATTAAATCTGCTGCAGCTGCAAAGGGATTTGACTTGATAACAATACCCTTGGGGGTTTCATACGTATCAACTTTTTCCATCAGAGATTCGCCGAAATATGTCTCCAGATATGTCATTTGTTGAACCTATGATAAAAAACGAAAATATTAATTTAAAACAAGTAAGCAAAGGCTATGGTCGTGCGGGGCCGACTATGTTATACCCTACAACACTACAATATTTTAGAAGCCCCTTTATGACAAAATCCATATTGGAAGATTTCGCTTTTACAGCTAAATATAATTCAATGGTCATCCAAAATGCTAGAATTCTTCCCTGTCCTTAACATTCTTCACAGGCGTGTCGACTGGCATCAATTGTGTGATCGGAAAAACATTTCTGTTTTTGATTAATTTGAACCCCTAAATATTTTGCAATCATCTCCAAAAGCAAAAAGCCCCTCTGTATCTCCAAATTTAGACTCATCTATATGATTTGCTTTTCCACGATATTTGGCTATATTCGTCAACAAAATCAGCATATAATGTATGGATGGTATATTAAGTTCGTCATTCCATTTGTAACTCATCGAAATACTAATTTTGGACCTCACTGTAAAATCAGCGTAAAATCCTAAGACGATTTAACCCTTTCCGTCCATCCGTATGTTGAAGTCAAAAGGAATTAAGATAGGAAGCTATAATTTTGCATAAGATCAGTTTGTCTGCAGGTAGGTCAAGATGAGTTATATTGGTCTACGTGGTCTATCGTGTAGGACCCCTTACAACGGTAAACCCCTAAAATTCGTTATTTTGATGATTGCGGCCAAAATTTTCAATGGAACTGTCTGAAAACCACACAAATCATTTCGAGTTCTTTACCCTCCGGAAAAGAATGGCCCACGGTATCGTACATTCCTCATATCACGGAATTTAAGATAATCGGTATTTTTATGATTTAAGCTACATTTTTCAATGAAAGTGTCTGAAATTCCACTCTTTCCCCCGGAAGAGAATTGTCAATATAGGTTCAAGATATCGTATAGCCCCCATGCAGAGCCTGTACTCCCAATATTCGGAATTTTGTTTTTTTTTTTTTTTTTTTGTTACATTATGCAATGAAACTGTTTGAAAACTAACACCAGTTCTTTTTGAGTACTTTACCCCCCTGGAAGAAAATTGTCTATATTGGTCCACGTTATCGTATAGGCCCCATACAACGGTATTCCCCGATATTAGGTATTTTGTTGATATTTTAAATTAACACAGGAAGTTGCTCCTGAGTACTTTATCCCCCTGGAAGAAGTTCACAATATCATATATTCCCCTATAAACCCTACCTCCCGATACTCGGTATTTTGGTGTTTTTAGCCATATTTTAATGGAATTGTCTGAAAATTCACACCAGGAGTTCCCTCTTAATACTTCTCTCCCTGGAAAAGAATTGTCTTTATAGCTCCTCAATATCGTATGGCCTTTATACAGCGGCACCTCTCATTATTTGGTATATTGATGATTTGGTGATTATTCACGCGAATTGGTTTAAATTTCGCAATGGGTACTACAGCCGATGCTGAATCAAGTCTTCGTATAGCCCCCACATAACGAGTTTCCTTTTGAATTGAGTTTTCCACGGATTTTTTTTGGCAATTTTTCAATTTTTCTTTGAAGTGGTAGAGGGTATTAAAAATTCGGCCCTACCGAACTTAACACTACAATATTTTAGAAGCCCCCTTATGACCAAATCCATATTGGAATATTTCGCTTTTGAAATTATGTCACGGAGCACTGTCCAAATATTACCCGCAACATTTTCACCAGAGACATTTGCCCAATATTTACGCACTCCGTCGTGATGTTAATTGCTGTGGTCCATTTCACCGTTAAATATAATCCAATGGTCATCCAAAATGCTAGAATTCTTCCTAGTCCTCAACTCTCTTCTCGCGCGTGTCGATTGGCTTCAATTGTGTGAACAGGAATTTTTTTCTGTTTTTTGTTCATTTGAAACCCTAAATATTTTCGATCATCTCCAAAAGCAAGAGGCCCCTCTGTATCTCCAAATTTAGACTCATCTATATGATTTGCTTGTCTACGATATTTGGCTATATACGTCAGAAGTTCGCCTTTTGTGTATTTCGGACATCGCCTGTAAGCAATGCTGGTATTTTTTCGCACAAAAATAGTGGTTCATTCTACCTGTTGTCATAAACTCTAAATTCAAGCGGGATTCCGTGTCCTTTGGTTTCTATTTGTGACCTTTATAACGTCTGCAAAATCATGAACATTTTTAGTTGTTGTTTCAAATACCGAATTAATTGGAGGTCTAGTAATATGGGTCCTACACCAAAGACTAGAGCAATCAAGATTACAGAACTCTAAATGTCAAGTTACACATGATTTGGTTTAAATTTGTGGCCAAAAGATTCAAAATACCGAAAATCAGGAAGTAACACTTTATGGGGTGATACTGAAACGTGGACCGATATTTCCCCTTTTTAATATCAAAAATACTAGGGCTAATATAAATGTCTGAATCAAATTTCAACCGTTCTTCAACTGTGAACCATTTAAACAATAAATGGCTTTGAAAACTATATCACCCATTAGCAAGTAAAAAACATTAAGTTCGGCCGGGCCAAACTTTTAATACCCTCCAATTTAGGGTAAAGGAAACATTAGAAGGAATATGGCAAAAACCATTAAAATGCCGAATATCGGGAGGTACCGTTATATGGGTGCTATACCAAAACGTGGACCTATAATTACAATGTTTCGCCACACGAACTAGGACCAAATCAGTGAAAAAATGTGGCAAAAACCATCAAAATACCGAATATCGGGAGGTACCGTTATATGGGGGCTATATCAAATCATGGACCGATGCATGCAATGTTTCGCCACCGGAGCTGGAACCCATTATGACCAACAAATACCATTTTTTAGAGAAATCCGTAAAAAAATGTGGCTAAAATCACCGGAGCTGGAACCCATTATGACCTACAAATACCAATTTTAAGACAAATACGTAAAAAATGTGGCATAAATCATCAAAATACCGAATATCGGGAGATACCGTTATATGGGGACCATATCAGAACGTGGACCCACATATCTCATTTTCAATACCAATCATCCTAGACACAATACAAATTGCTCTGCTAAATTTTGGCGCTCTCCGTCAAATAATGTGGGCTCTATCGTGATTTCAACAGACAGACGGACATCGTTAAGTCAACTTAGAATTTTATGCTGATTATGAATATATATACTTTATGGGGTCTACGACGAATATTTAAGGATATTGGACTTTCATATCACCTCAGTACCCACCAAATCAACACCAACTTCAAGGGGTGAAGCGAAAAAATCAAAAAATACAATATCGCTCATACAAGCCTTGCCCAAAGCCGTTCCATGGTACATGTAGAAAAGCGTTAGATTCGTTTTCACAATATCTTCTAATAATGGCATAGCCTTTAAAGGAAAACTGACGATGTTATCTTCTTTCCGTATCAGTGGTACATGTTGGGTGACAACATTAAAAAATTCCGATTTGGTTTGTGCCACCACCTGAAAAGGAGAAGAAATAAGAAAAGTAATTTTAAAACAAGTAAGCAAAGGCTATAGAAGTGCGGGGCCGACCATTAGATTAAATACAGGCCTCTTTATGTCCAAATCCATTTTTGAAGATTTCGCTTTTGAAATTATGTCACGGAGCACTGCCCAAATATTACCCTTAGCATTTTGACCAGGGACATTTGCCCAATATTTACGTACTCCGTCATGGTGTTAGCTGTTGTGTTCCATTTTACAGCTAAATATAATCCAATGGTCATCCAAAATGCTGAAATTCTTCCCTGTCCTTAATTCTTCTCTCAGGCGTGTCGATTGACATCAATTGTGTGATCAGGAATTTTGTTCTGTTATTGGTTCATTTGAACCCCGAAATATTTTGCTATCATCTCTAAATGTATATGATTTGCTTGTCTACGATATTCAATAACGAAATCGGTAAAAAATGTAGAAGTTCGCGTTTTTGTGTTTATTATCGATATCGCCTGTAATTTATTTTCAGCGTTTCGGTAGAATGAACATATTGGTATTTTTTCACACAAAAGTAGTGGTCCATTCTACCAGCTGTCCTAAACACAAACTTAATGCCAGATTTCGTGTCCTTTGGTTTCTATTTTGGACCTTTATAACGGCTGCAAAATCAGAAACATTTTTAACTGTTGGTCCATTTCAACTCCCAAATATATTGCGGACATCTTTGAAAATAATAGGCCTGACCCTACCGTTGTGAAAATTTTCGTAATGAGGAAAGGTCCATCAATTCTCGAGATATAAGCATTCTAGCTAACATCCCCTTCCTTTGTATATACATATTGTATATATATCGCTGTATATACCCGAATTCGTTGGACTATTGTGTCTGGAGTATTTTTTGGAAAGCAAGGTTGGCAGTAAAAAATTCCAAAGTGTCGATCACGTCAAGTAATCGCTTTGGCGGGAATGGGCCCAGCGTGTGATGGTTTCTTTGGCCGTTTGAAGGCCATAATTCATGCAAATTGGAACAAATCGAAACTAATTCTAAAATTGTATGCTATTTCCGACTTTTTTTTTTTTTTTGCAAAAATTACAAAATGTAAAAATTATGTCGTTTGACTCTGTTGCAGTTTTTATACCCTACACCACAAGGTGGTCAGGGTATTATGTCTTTGTGCATTTGTTTGTAACAGACAAAAGGAAACGAGATAGACCCATAGTTCCTTTTGATGATCAGCATAGAATCACATTCTGAGTCGATTTATACATGTCCGTCCATCCGTCTGGCCATGTATTTTTGTAACCAAAGCACAGTTCGCAATTATTGTCCTATCCAGATGAATTTTTGCACAAATCATTTGTTTTGCCCAAGGACGAACCCTATTGAAATTGGAGATAATCGCTCAAAATTTAGGTATAGCTCCCATATATAGCTTCGTCCGATTTGCCTTTTATTGTGCACCTAACGTGTAATATCAGCTCGAATAGTATGGACTTTTGCACGTACGATCAGATTGGACCTGAAAATAAGTATCCCAAATTTGATCGAAATCGGTTCAGATATAGCTATAGCTCACATATATATTGTTCATCCGATTTGTTATTTTTGTCCTTCGCAGCCGTAATCTGCACTCTGTAACAACAATATTTGGGGAAATATATCAAATACAGCCTAGAAATATATGTACCAAATTTTATCGAGATCGGTTCAGATTTGGATATAGCTCCCATATATAAGTTCGTTCGATTTACCTTTTATTGTGCAGCAAACGTCTAATATTTGTCCAAATGGGAAATGGAATTTGGCACTTAGGACCGAATTTAGTCTAGAAGCTAGTATGTTAATTTTGGTGAAGATCGGTTCAGATATAGCTATAGCTCCCATATATACTGTTCATCCGATTTGTTATATTTGTTACCCACAGCCGTAATATGCACTCCGTAACAACGATATTCAGGGAAATATATCAAATACAGCTCAGAAATATCTTTGCAAAATGTTATGGAGATCTTCTCCGATTTGGATATAGCTCCCACATATATCTTTGTCCGATTTCAAATTAGTTGTGCACCAAATGTGCAACACAAGTCCGAATTTAAAAGATACGAATGCTTCGGCATGTTCAGTCCTTTGAACTTTAAATTATAATTGTAATCATAGCGTGTATGATTGAATTCTCCCATAATAACTTTAATTTTTATGCGGAGCTCTAATAAATTAGCAAAGTGGTGTAGGGTATCATAAAGTCGGCCCCGCCCGACTTTAAGACTTTCTTTACTGGTTTTTTATCTCACCATGTATATATATAAAATGTAATATTATAACACAAATAACACCAATGAGTTAAATCCTTTACATCTTACCTTAAACGGAAATGCAAGTATAACAATGCCATTCGGTTTATTATGCGATCGACGAATGTTATTTAACTTTGTATTAAGGAAAACCAAATGAAATTCCGCTGGATATGAAATACCATCAAAATCATTTATCGGATCAGTTTTTTCAAGCCAATACCATTTAATGTGAATAAGGCTATAATTGCCCAATTCTTTCAATGGTCCTCCGTATATTGTCGGCGGTTGGGAATTTTCACTATAATCTACTTCGATTGTGAGCACATTGTCGTAATTAATAAATTTTGCCCGCTTCGGTTGTACATGAAAAATTTTGTAAGAGAATTCTTCAAAGTGACGTTCTTCAATACGTACAGTTGTTTCATTCAAAGGCATCTTATGCTTCCCAATGCATTCTGCTGCTGGTAAGGGGCTATTGCCAACTATGGGGAAAATATGAAATTAGAAATGTTGAATTTTCATAAAAAATGATTTTATTGAATTACCCGCATCTGTGTGTTGCATGAAAAAGAGGGTAATTAATACTAGAGAATTTACAAATAGGCAGCAGCGTTTGAGGACAAGTAGCTGAATCCATAACATCATAATTTACCGTTGCACTTTCTGTTGTACAATTCGTGCCACACATTAACTATATCTATTGTTTTTGTGACATTTGGGTTCCGTGCCCAATATTGAGGCAAAAAATTATCTAATCCAATTTCTTAAATCATTAAATTTAGAACAAAATATATTATATAGGTATGACCATCAGACGAGGCCAGGCCAGGATCTGTATAGCTTTACACAAGATGAGCTGTTTTATTTTCCCTTGGTAACTATATTTTTGGCCATTCAAATTTTAGTGGAGCAAAACTTTCAAAGGCTAAAATTTAGCTGAGGGACTCTCAAATATTTTAAAAAATAAATTAGATTCCAAACGAAAATGCCGTTTTAAACTGTTATTACTAATAGTATTATTATACCCTTCAACATTCTATGGAGGATATATTAACTTTGTCATTCCGTTTGTAACTTCTCGAAATATTTATAATAGACCCTACAAAGTATATATTTTCTGGATCAGCATAAAATTCTGAGAAGATCTTATGATGTCCGCCGTCCGTTTGTCTGTCTGTTGTAATCACGCTATCTTTCGAACGAATTGAGATAGAAGGCTAACATTTTGCATACATGCATAGTTTGCCAGTAAGCAGGTTAAGTTAGTAAAAGGGCCATGGCGGTCCACGTTTTCGTATAGCCCCCATAGAACCCTATCTTCCGATATTTGGTATTTTCATGATTTTAGCGACAGTATTTACCGAAACTGTTTCAAATTTGGTATTTGAAGTTCGATATGGATACTACAGCCTATGACAAAAAATTATCTGTGCAGCTCCACGTCTTCGTACAGCCCCCATTAAGGGTTCCTCCCGATATTCAGTATTCTAATAATTTCAGTAACATTTTTCACCGGCATCGTTTGAAATTTCGTACTGGAAGATCTTAATGGCTACTACAACCTATGGAACAAAATTCTTTATGCAGGTCCACGTCATCGTATAGCCCCCATATGACGGTACCTCCCAATACTCGGTATTTTTATGATTTGTGCGACCTTATTCACCGCAATTGTAATAATTTTCGTATTTAAAGTTCGGAAAGGGTACTACAGCATATGACAAAAAAATCTTATGTAGGTTTACGTTTTCGTATATTTCCCATATAACAGTACGTCCCGACATCGGTATTTTTATGATTTTAGCGGCATTATTCACCGGAGTGGTTTCAAATTTGGCATTTGAAGTTCGTAATGGGTTCTACAGCCGGTCCGCGTCTTCGTATTGTATAAGAATTTTCATTTCTATCTATATAAGAATTTTCATTTAAGCGGTAGTTTGCGGAGATTGTTTGAAATTTTTCAAGTTCCTTCCAAATGGTGAAGGGCTGTTTTTTACTTGTTTTAACTTCTATTCGATTGCTCTTTCGCTTAAATAACATGCAGCCGGTTCGTTAGTTTTCCGTTTTCAATAAAAATTGGTTTATCACACAACAAACTTTACAAAGTATTTGAGCAACGAAAAAACACAAAATAAATATTCACACTTGTGCTATTAGCAGTTGGGCGAAATGCCTAATAAAGTTGGTTTTGAAAATAATTACATTTTAATGGTATGTTTTGTAAGGGATATTGAAAATCCCAATGGGATGGTGTAACAATAGTACTTTGCAAAATAAAATGTATTAAAATGCTACAATTGAACTTTTCGAGACAATAACTTTGTTAACAAAAATAAGTTAAACAAGTTAAAAAGTATCAGTCTGTATTGCCGACAGATATGTACCCTCAGACTATGTTCGATTAAATAATCGAAATATATTTGACTAGTGTTACAATTATTCAAACGTTTGACACTCTATGGAGCCGGTTCCGAAGGAATAGGCCAGTATTGTCCATTTCGTATCAGACCCAAAAATGCGATATAAATATTCCAACGTTCCTGGTATGGATTATGTCAACTCATTCCTTCACTTTATATGAGATATGTAATAATTTGTATAGTTATTGTTGACCTTTGATCAATATATTTTCTTCTCGTTTTTCGTTTGGCTTGAGGTCAGAGTTTAATTATTTTTCAGATTGTCGAAATATCGGGAAAATAAATTAAAATATA